AACAAAATTGATCTCAGAATAAGAATAATAATCACATACCTTGTCATTCCGCTTATAAGCCCTCTTAAGCTGCAAAACAATCCTTCTAAGCAAAAGATCCCCCACCTCGGGAAACTTTGTATTAACAACAGCAACCAAGGCAGCAAAAACATCTGTAAATCCCGGAGATGCCATCTGTGACTTCATACATGACCGACAAAAAAGTCCCCTTCCCCTGATCAGGTTTTCCGAAAACAATTCAGGAATTATATTTTTTATGTTTGTAGCATTAACCTTATTTACAAGCCCGTTTATGCTCTTTCTCAGAGCATCCCACGTTAACCTTTGATATTCTACACTACTTTTATCCTGAACTTCTTTCATCATCATCGCCATCTTAAAGGGGGGAATGTAAACACCTCCACTCTTGCCCAAATTAGATGCATCACCGTTCAGGTTACCTCCTGGGATAGTTGTCTGTCGTTGAGGATTTGCATCTCTAACAGTTCTCCCATTTCCATTCTCTTTCTTCCTACTTTCTTCTTGCTGCTTGCTCACACCCTTATCCCTGTGGTTGCGCTCATTGTCATCATCCCTTTCAGGTCTTCTTCGTCTCCTATCACTATCCCTCTCTGATTTCCTTGCCAACTCCCTATCATCTTCCTCCGAATCATAACGTGAGTGTCTGTTACCACCCTTTTCCACTTTTCGCCTCTTATCCCTATCACTATACCCGTCTGATTTCCTGGTCAGCTCAATGTGATCTTCTTCTGAATCATGCCGTCCACGGCGATCCACAATTCTACTCTTGCCTTCCTCCCCTCCTCGCCATCTATCCCTGTGATGCAATCTATGACTCTCTTTCTCCCCTCGCCTTTCACTCTGACCATTCACTCGACGAGAAGCCCTATCACCCCGGCTATCTTCTTCAGCATCTCTCCCCCCACGTCCATCATAATCCTGCGACAGCCTCTCATCCTTTCCCTTCTCTTCACTAACCCTCTTTTTATTCACAATCTGACCCTCCTCCTCTGAGCTCTCTGACTTCTCCTTTCTCTCCCTACTCCTACTTTTTTTATCACTCCCCATAACACCATCCCTCTCAGCTCTATTTATCTCTTCCCCCGAGTTACTTCCATCACTATTATCCCTGCGGTGACCAGAACTCTTCCTACCACTCCTACCACCACGCCGATACCTATCCCTCTCTTCATCCTCAGATTCGCAGCCACTGCGTCTCCTCTCATCATCTTCACTCGACTCGCTGCTACTGCTGCGTCTTCTGGCCATGTCAAACCCTAATTTAATCCAACATAAGTTAAATCCACAATAAAAAAACACGGGGAATACACAAAATTGCGGTAATTTCACTGCCAAACTGCTTAAAATTGTAAAATGAAGTGTGAATGGGAAAACGAAACAAAAATCACAATAGAAGACTCTATTTAATAGAGTGAAAAAGAAGAGAACAATTGAACAAGCCAGAAACAGGAACCTTAGGTCGTGCCAGAGAACCGAGAAGTTGAGTGAAAGAACTCGATGGATCTTTGCAGAGATGTGTTAGGTTTATGTTTTGAAAGAAAGATGTGAAACGAGAGAGATGGCGGTTGTTTTGCAGAAGTTCTTAGGTTTAGGTTTACAGAAAGGTGGATGCTG